TGCAAGTTCCATGTGCTGTGGTTGCATGCTATACCTTTAGGAAATAAGAGTCTTGAGGGAGGACAGAGTCAATTTAATCATTATTTTGCTTGCTGTTTCAGCTAAACTGCTCTGTTTTGTTATATGTGTATTTTAGTACTTATCTTGCAGTCATCAGATGCTTAATGGGATCTAAGGAAGTCTGGTGTAGAAAAGTGGAGTGCAAGCTTTAACACAGGCTACCCCTTCATCTGGTACTGAGGGATGATTCATCACTTTTCATTTAAAATAATAGAGTGGACCTTGTTCAAAATTATCATTGGTATAAACAAATGGCATTGTTGATGGATCATTCTTGCTAATAACCAATGACAAATACCCTGCTTAGTTTGGCAAAGTCCTCTTTTTTAATCAAAGCTGGCAACTATCAGGATAAAAGGACACCTGTCAGTACCTGATAGATATTCTTATGAAATGTGTTCCTAAAGTGCCAAATCCTATCCTTTTCTATAAGAACTGTAACTCTTTGAGTGTTGATTAATTTTCAGGTAGATTCTAAGATGCCTTCTTTTAGCACACTGATGATTGGTCAGATGTGGAAGCAGTACCTGAGTCATCCCAGCTTGCAAGTCAGCATTTTAAGGAAATTTCAATTTAGGATCTGTTTGTCTCAAAGTATTATCAGCAAAAGTAAAACTGGAGCTGCTGAGGAAGCAGAGTATACATTGGTGTCATGGAGGAAGAGCTGACTGCCTGATGCAATAACCAGGTGTCTTCCCCTAGGTCAGGTCACCTTCCCTGGAAATCAAATCCCTACAATTACAGTTGCTGGGCTGCTTTTGTACTGTACTAAGATTGAGATGTATGGTGTGTCATGCTTTGTGAACCAGCCTGAGAATTAGTCTGCACCATTAAAAAGTAAGTTTCACAGTGCTAATTTTTCATTGCCTCAGACTAATTTTTTCCATAGGGATGGGAAGACATACATATGCATAGCATACACATTGATTAAATGGAATGCATTTGCTATTTTAGATGTATTCATTCTGAATTGTTATATATAATATAACAATGTTATATATAATTCACTCTGAATTGCCGTTTTAATACAGGCTCTCAGGGTCCTGGGGGAAAGCCAACAAACACAATGTATGTCTAGATCATTAAAAATAATTTAAGAGTGCTGGAAAAGAAATGTACAAGTGTTTGCAGGGTGTTCCATATTTACTCTGTGGTAATGATAAATAATTGTTGGTTTTCTCAGTTTATAGGTCAAAAAGCAGGTTTTAAATATGTCAGCCTTCAGTCTGGGCTCTGTAAAAATAAACTAAATGACATTTGCCTAACATTTAGTCTTTGTTACCACAACTTCAAGCTTCTCACATTAATTCATCCATTGGACCCCTAAAAGTCCCCTTAATGTTGGTAAATCTTGTACCCATACTATTGGTGGAGGGCTGAAGTGTAGGGCAGGCTGAAAGTAGCTGACAGAAAGTACCTATAAAGAAAGGGCTCATAGACAATATTCAAGTCTTAATCTCAGAAGATCACTAAATATCCTTGATATTTAAATCGCTCTAGGTGATTTCTTCATTGATAAACTGTCTCTGACTGAATTGACCATGTATTCTGGGGCCAAACAGGCCCCAGATGCACAGAGTACATCTTTGATGCACGGAGTAAAGATGTACATTGTCAAAGTGCCATTTTTATATTAAAGCAAAGTTTCAAGTAGAATTCTGCTAAAACACTGTCCTGTTTTGATATTTTGGGAACATCAAAGGGGTTTGGCTGAAAAGATTAAAGGTCTATTGATCACTAATAATTTCCTAATATTTTTGATGTGCTTAGGGATCACAATCTGCTGCTGGAATACACCCATGTAAGCTGAAAAGCAGTGGCTGTCAGAGAGCTCAGATCACTTTAGAGGGGAATGTAAAGGAACTTTCTTTCCCATGCCAAATAGTCTTGTGGCTAAAATCTAGCTACCTACTGAGCTTCAGTGGCAACATAAAGAAGGGCCACATTGAAAAAGAAAACTAAAGGTTATATCATTAAAGAAAGAGATGTAAAAATGAAATTATCACATTCTTGCATAATGAATCCTCAGCATAATGAAGGCCTCAGGAGGGCTATCAAAAAAATCTATATATAAAATATAGCTGCTAAACTCTCCCTTAGTCTCTGAACTCACACATGCACTAAGCCCTTTTATTCCTTCCTTCTGATGTCAGAAAAAGGTAATGTTTGGACTAGATAAAGCCAAATAGATATATAGGTACTATGCAGTAGGATTATCCTAGAACTTTTACCTAAATTGGCTGACGGGAAACCTCTGCAGTACTGTTTTCTGCATGGTAAAAAGGCAGTAAAGCCTTGGCCAACAAAACTAAGAATTACAGTTATTTCTAGGTGGGTAGATAAGGGGCTTATAGACCAAGGTCAAGGCTACATCTTGATCCTCTCAAAGGCTAAACTTTAGGACTTGATCATAAAATTAATTCACAAGAATAGCCTGTCCTAAATACATCTCTTAGGTCATTCTCTGAATGCCTCCACTAGTTTAGTTAATTGTCGAGTGATTAAAGTGATAAAAATTTGGTAAACTCTTCAGATTGTTCAGTAAATGCAGTTAGTGTTGTGCAATACTGTTAGGCTGCAAGAACAAAATAAACAAATGGTCTGTATCCCAGGGGTCTTGCAGATAGCACAGCTATGATGTTCACCCATTAAAAAATCATTGGGGGAAAAAATTATAAAGCATTGGTTTGTCAGTAAGCAAGAGTACTACTCAGAATTTTATTTATCCCAGGAATGCTTTAGTCACTTTTAATTTAATCCGATCCTAGAAAACACACATTTTTTCCTCCCATCAAGGTAATTTAATGCATTAAATGTTTCACAAAGTATCAAGTGCATTACATATGTATGAGTCTCCAGGAAAGCCTTTGAAGGAAGGGTACTAATGTTCTTGTTCTTGAAATAATATCCTCATATTGTCACAAGTTATTAGTGATATTGCCATTTCTCTGTCCTAGGAATTGGGTTTTGTGGCCATTGCTCATCTCCAGCTATTTGTCAGAATCTGTTAGGGCACTGTAGCTTGCATTCAGCACCTTGAAATGCTCTAATCATCGTGGCAGGTTCCTGTGGCAGAATCCTGACAGTGGTCACTCGCTCAGGTTAGGGTGGGGGCTGCTGTGGGGCTGGCACATGGGAAGGGGGGCAGTGAAGCAGTTTTTTCAGTGGACCTTTGCCCATCCCTCTGAGCAGTGGAAATGCTTGAGCTGGTTATGTTGGATTTTGGGCAATTCCTGAACATGTATGTGAAACAAAAATGAAGTCAAATTTTTAAAGTGATCTCACTGTTGGAACATGGTTGAAATTGTTATTTGTTATGTAATAGGAATGTTTAAATTGGTCTCAGTTACCATATATTGAGATCAAGTGTTTTGTCCCATTGAAACAGGGGCTGTTAAGGCCAAAGGCTGTGTTTGTTTGGCTAGTATGCAACGCACCATGGAAACAATAAGTAATTGTTAAATTATAAATAATTATTATTTTAAAATAACAATAATTACAAACAGTAATTAGTTCTTCCTGGATCTGAATTTTTATTTTTGATAATATTGCGTGATTTAATAATTACAGTCAATGACAGGTCTTAATTAAATCCTAGTACCTATTACTGTGATGGTAAAATGGAAATAGCTACCTGATGATTTAAGAGTGGTTTATAGGTTCCTGAAAAAACATAAAACATTTCCTTATTTGTTGCTGAGGTTAAAATTGGGAAAGATCATAAGACATGCATGGCAGACATTTTATTTTTGAGGATTTTGCTTTTGTTGTAGATTTGCATTTAATAGTGTTTGCTATGTTTGCAGTTAGTAATGCTACATATTTGTTGAAGTTAATAAGGTTTGCAAAGTTTTATGTTAAAGGCAGGGATATTTTGTTTAGTTTGTAGATTGTACGTTCAAAATCAAAGTTAATGGAAGCATAAATAAATTAAAGTAGATCCCTAATAATTTAGCATCTGAATTATCCATTGTAGATACCATCAGTTTAATTGCATGTGCATATTAAAACTCCTTATTTGAAAACCAGTTTCTAAATATTCAGTTTTTAATGTCAACATCTGTTGAGGTATACAATAGTTTTATGATAATTAGCAATGGGAAAACCATAGAAGTCTTGAAGTTTGATTCAGATAAACAACCATATTTTTGGTACTTTCCCATCTTACATAAAGCTCTTGTTTTCCTGAAAAATTTCTGGTCCTTCAGGTCTTGAGGGAAGCTGTACATGTGTTGTGATTCTGTATTTGATTCCCACTAGACTGCAAGAGATGAGAGAAAAATTAGAAGAAAATGACTCATTAACTTTTAAATTTCATCACAGAAGGGCTGTTCAAAATGCTTTTTCCCTACTTCCCTCATTAGACTAGTAGCTAAAGAGTTGGAAGACTTCTTTATGTTTGACTTATTACTAAAGTAATGCAGATTTCGATCATGTGAATTCTTTATTTTTTTTGTTGGTTTTTTTTTTGGAATTTTTTTTTTTTGTTTTTTTTGTTTTTTTTTTTTTTTTTTTTCTTTTTTTTTTTTGCAATTTGCTTGATTTTTCGGGTTTTTTTTTTTTTACCCCTTGTTTTAGTAAGCTTCTACTTCAAGCTTAGTGATGAATGATGCACTGAAGACCTGTGCTATAACTATGCTCTGAAATCTTTTCTCAGTACATCTGGCTCTTTGAGGTAGTCTAGGAGCTCGATCCCCAGCATCAGATATCACCTGTAACAAACTCAACTGTAACAAAATAAGTTGGAACGAAACAAGAAGTTTCTTACTGTCTGACATGAAAAGCCTGTGCTTAGCAGTGTTTGTGTGATGATGTCAAGCATCAGTGTCAGTGCTCCACTTCCAAACCTTGATGATGTCAAGGTTTGGAAGTGGAGCACTGCTGAACTTGGCAGTTTCCTTAAGATACTGTAATCAATCCCAATGTTTTCTCAATGCTAGGATTCTGCCAAACATCTGGCTGGGAAGTTGCCCTCGGCAGCTGGAGCACGTGACCATCAAGCTGAAGCATGAGCTGGGTGTTACAGCTGTGATGAACTTCCAGACTGAATCTGACATTGTTCAAAATTCCTGGGGCTGCAACCGCTACCCAGAACCCATGAGCCCTGAAATCCTTATGAAGCTGTATAAAGAAGAAGGTCTTGCCTATGTCTGGCTGCCAACTGCAGACATGAGCACTGAAGGTAATGCTCATGTCAGTCTTGCAGTAAATTAATAGCAACAAACACTTTGAGTTACTAATCTGTCACTTTTGTGACAGTTGTGGGGGGAGGAGTTCTGTGCACATTTTGCATGAAAATATAGCTGGAACACAAGTTATATTTTCTTTGTGTGCTGTCTTTAACAAATTATTCATATTTTCTTGTAGTCAGAGAGATTATCTGAAGTACTTTGTGTCTGGCAGTATTATTTGTATTTGAGTTTAAAGCCATCTGACATCAGTAACTGCTTGACTATTTTTACTTTCAGCTTCAGTTCAGCCTATATTATGAAAACATGCTGTGTAGGTGGAAGACTGCAAGTTTGAAGAGCAGGGCAACTTGCCACCTTTGCTGATTAAAAATGGAGAGACGATGCTGTGTTGTCTGCTATTCCCTTCCCAACAAACACTTTTTCTTTAACTGTAGTATCCCAGTCTGATGAAACTCCATAGTGACATTTATATAATAGTTTGCAATTAATTTAAAATACTCATAGCACCTGAGCTGTAACATCAATTACTAGTACTTTTAAGTCCTTGGTTGGAATGCTCAGTTCAAAGTCTTGTTTCCAGACAGAAGGTTAGAAAGTGAATGTGTTTTCAAGTGAGCAGCCTGCCAGCAGAAGCAAGTGCTTTCAACACAGTGAAATACTACTACCCCAAACAGGTCACTGTCATATCAGCAACAGGACATCAGGGAAGACAGGAGACCTTAAAACAGGAATTTGAATGGGCTTAATGTCAGTGCTTTTATGTGCCATGAGGAAAAGTTGGGCTGTACTGTTTGCAGCTCTGTTTCCTGGACAGCCAGAAAGAAAGTATCAGAAAATATGGTATATTTATTCCTTTGGGAGTGAGAAAGTTTATTCTGTGTTGTTTGACTGTATGCTTAGAGAACAATGAAATCATAACAATTTTAAGTTGTACAGTAAAATGTTCTTCTGCTCTCCCTCCCTCACTTACTGAATTGGTGGCCTTCATTAAAATGTTTTGGAAATCAGCAGTATGTAGGTACCTTCACAAACCTCTGGTATTAAAAAGCAAATTTAATTTTTGGCTTGCTAACTTTAATGCCATGTAAGTTGTGCTGTTCTCTATAATGTGCTGCCTTGTCTCAGTTCCTTTGAAAATGAATATGCCACACACATCTGATTTTATCAGAATTTAGAGAAGACTTGGGGCATTTTACTTAGAAATGTCTTAGAAACGACTTCTCTATTTAGCAGCATTGATCTGGTTCTATATTGCAACGAGAAAAAAACAAGTTAGCCTAGAAAGTCATTTGAGAAAAGAAAGAAAAAAGTGGAATATATCAGGTCTGCCATTATATTTCACAGTTCATCAGCCATTAACTTTGTCCAGTGCAAATGAATGTGCCTTGTTTTTAACCTTAGGAAGAATCCAGATGTTGCCACAAGCTGTCTGCCTCCTGCACGGGCTGCTGCAGAATGGACACACTGTCTATGTTCATTGCAATGCTGGTGTTGGCAGGTCTACAGCAGCTGTCAGTGGCTGGCTGAGGTACGTGATGGGATGGAGCCTGAGGAAAGTGCAGTACTTCTTGGCTTCCCGGAGACCAGCTGTCTATATAGATGAGGAAGCTCTGAATCGTGCTGAAGAAGATTTCTACCAGAAATTTGGGCATCTTCGTTCCTCATACCAAATAGAAGAGTAGAAAAGCAGCAGAAGAAAAGGAAGGCAAAGAGGAATCCTTAGATTTGAACCCCAAGGATTTAGAAATTTCTGTGACTTAGGCACTCACCTCTTCAGATTATAAGCTTCTTGTAAAAGTGATGAGAATTTTGTTTAAAAAGTGCCCTAGAGTTTTTAATTTGCTTTCTTTAAAGTGACATGATTCACATTTTCAAGCCTTTTGGTGCAATTATGAGACCCAGAAACTGCAAAGTGAAAGGAGATTTTCTTTTAACTACTTGCCTATAGGAATAGAAGTTTTAGGGCTTAAAACTAAAACTAAAGATGTGAGGTGGAATAGAGTTGGCAATAAAAACTGACAAGAAAGAAATACAAAGATTGACTGGATTAAGATTCAGGTTAGGATGGAGCAGACCATCATCAAAGCTGCTCAGTTATTTTAAGCAGGTATTAGATTGTTGCAGTGTTTTGTAGTAATTCTGTAGACAAGTGGTATTGATGAGAAAGACCAGAAGGAAATTGATTCTTCAATTCAGTGTTTAAAAACAAAAAACTAATGTCTAATGCAGCGAACTAAGATTTGCTCTTTGTCCATCTAGTTAATGTTACATATTATGAGCTCCAGCTGTATTCTTTTATGACATTGGGGTTATGCTGGGCTGTGACATGAAGAGAGGACAGAGCTCCAGCTGTGGCAGCCTTGCTTTGTTGTGGGGCAGGACCACCGTTTGTTACATTATCCTAGGCTGTGAGTTCTCTGAGTTGAAGCTGTGTTTTGCCCCTCTGGTCCATGCAGTGCTGTACAGGAGTTCCCTTAGGTGCCAAATCAGTCTGAGCAGTAACCACTGGGGTAAGACAGGACCTGTAGGAATGGTGTGGTGCATGACTGGCACCACAGCCTCTGGGCTGTTGGTCTAAATTAGTATCTTCAATACAGAAAAAGCCTGTCCTTGTGCAAGCAGTGGGTGTGTGTTAGGTTTAGCTGATTGAAGCTAATGCTGGGCTATCTCTGGGCTGAATGAAGTCAATACATTCCTCTATAGGAACAAAGAGCAACTCTGCAGAGGATGGTTTCTCAGGAGCTTAGGCCCAGTGTTAGCTTTGTGGGGATGATCCCTAATGTTTTCCATTGCTGCTTGGTCCCTTAGCTAAACTAAGCACCAACAGCTTTCAGTCCCACTCAGATGAAACCAATTTGATGTAGATTGAATTCAAGAGAGAAGAGAAAATTAAGGAAGAATAAACATTAAGAAACATAATTTCTGTAGGTTTATTCTTCAGTGAAATCTCATTTTTCCCAGCCAACTTGTTCCTCTAAAGATGTAGTCAGTGACAGAGTAGTTTAAGTAATAAATATTGATTTTCTGAGTATTTAATGGATAAACTATTGGATATGAACTGTTTATGGAGAATGTACAAATGATTATATTTTATTTGTCCTATACTTCAATCATCTTGAAAAGAGAAATATTTATTTAAGTTATTCTATGTGTGGTTTTCATTTGAGACTTTTTGAAATAACACTGCCTCTTTAGAAAATGGATGAGAAAATAAAGACAAAATTACTATTCCAGCAGCCCATTTTGTCATGCCTCTTTGCGTCCCAATTTCACAAATAGCAAAAAGGGTCATAACCAGTATTTCGGTATAGTAGTGGAACCACCTCTGGTACCTTCAAAGACAAAAACAGTTGTTTCTTCTCCTAGCCCAGAGCAGAGAGAAGAGGGAGTGTGTAAGTGCTTCTGTCTATGCAAATGTGCAGAGCTACAGCTGCCTGCAGGAGTTACCTCATTTTGACTGAGTTTAAAGTAAAATTGGTGAGTTTTTGCTACCATATTCTCCTTAAAATCAAGCACCAAGAGGAGGAGAATGGTGTGAGAAGCAGAGTACAACTTGCTTTAGTTTTACATTTCTGCTGAGATTTACTTGAAACCGCAAGCTTAAAATGTGTTTCCAAGCATCCCTGACAGAAGCCCTTTCCTCAAGATGCAACTTGTAATAAATGCTGGGGCAAATACTTGTGGAATTGATTCTTGTTCTTGTACATATGTAATGTATATATATATGGGTGTATATATAGTTTTAGGGCTCTCGGGACTGAGCAGTGCATAACATGGCACAAACAAGTATATGACTAAGTACAGCCACTCTGTATTGGCTACTTCCTAATTCTGATTATATTGCCAATGGAAGAAGACTGATGTTTCATTTGTAGGGCAGGAATCCATATGACACAGGAGTCAGAGATTCAAGGATGCCCTAGCAAGCTGTTAATTCATTGTTTACTGTCATTTCAGCAAAAGGTTGTTGATTCATTGCTTATTTCCTCTTCAGTTTGTGTTTCTGTTGAACTGCTTGGGAGCACATATCATAGAGATTGCATTAGCTCTTGAATTGCATGAAAGCAGTTCAACACTATTAAATGCCAACTCCATGTTAAAAAAAGAATGCAAAGAGATCCCGGGGGGGGGTCCCAGGGGTTTGCATTCCCTTTGTACCTATTTGTAGCATCCTTTTTTTCCCTCATTGCTACCTTCCTGCCTTTGTCATTGAAGCCCTCTCTGTCAAGCAACATTCATTCAAAACCTTTTCTGTGGAATGCAACTAGAAACTTAAATGCTATAAGGATCATTGCAAGAGACTGCAGCAACAGAAAAATTAATCATATAAAAATATTCAGTTTCTTCAAATGTATAATTACATAATAATCTGCATCTAGATATAATGTATTAGATTTCAAATTTGTAATGTGTTCTTATGCTGATTGGATCATTAGCTCTTTCCACAGGCTAGCCTCTTGATGTAATTTGGTTGAAAGGATCAAGACAGGCTCTTGTTTATGTTCTTGTATATTTCCTTGCTACTTTAGTCCTAAAACACTACAAAATTTAGAGAAAAAGAGCTCCTATAACAAGAATTAAAATCAGATAGACAATAATGTTTATTTTGGAGGGGGCCCAAGAAGCCCATAATAATGGGAACCAGGTAAAAATGTTTTGATCACAGAAGAGCATCAGTTGGGGAAAACAGCAGTGATGCTATTAGCATTAGTATTCTCTGCCCTGTTAGAGCCATGTTTTTACCTCCATGAAATTAAAGAATTTGTTGCTTGAAATGGGAACATTTATAACTCCAGGTAGTTAGAGTAGCTCAATGTCATTATAAGGCCAAACAATAGCATATATTCTTTCCCAGGGATAAGCACATGAAGGAGCAAAGCAATTCTTTTACAAGTGATTTTGTAACAAGCACAGTCCCTTGAGGAATTGGTTGGGCTTTGCGGGGTATAGTTTTGTGAATATTTTTCCTTTGGACATCACAAAAGTACTAGTGATAATCTTCTGCAGGACATTTTTACACTGATGATGCAAGCTGATTAAAGAGGACTAGTGTGTCTGGTGTGACTATTGAAAACCTTTTCTCCCTTACTCCTTATTTGCTATTTTGCACTTTGAGCTTCGATCCCTTTACTTATGTTCTAAGTTTATGATTTTCCATCTCAGTACAGCAGCACGCACAACAAAGCTCTGGCTGCGGGTTTGATACCAGGATGTTCTCCATGGCTGAAAAGTCTCAAACCTGGCAGCTGAGTTGTATGCGCTGCACAAAATCCTGTGCAAAACAGTCTCTCTGCTCTGGAATGAAATTAAAATTTGAGACTGCCAGTCAAGCCCACTTGGGCAAAGGAAAGGAAAAAAGGCTGTTGATTGTGCTGGAGTAGGTAATAGAAATCCCTATTTAAAACAAGAATGCAAAAAGTCAGACTTATTCCATTACCTATAGTGATGGCCTTCTTGAGCTCTAATCTATAAAACCCACTGAAATTACTAGTCTGTAATTGAGGGAAAGAAATCTAAAGACCAAAGCCAAAGACATTTGCTTTAAGTGTATTAGCCTGTTACTCAATTTATTTTTCATAATTAAATTGCAGTGAGATATTTCAAACCAATGATGAAGTTACAAAAAAATTATTCCTTAAAAAAATACACCATGCAGCAGAAAACAATGAGAAAATACTTAGAAGCATAATAACTACTGAAAAAGCATATATTTGGCAAGCAAGAATTACCTTCTGGAAGGATAACGGACATCAGGCTGCTGTTAGCTAAAATGGAATTGGATTAATGCAGCAAAGGATAGCTGAATGTCTCCAACGCTGTTTATATTCTCAATGGTAAATCACCTCTGCAGATATTTCTTAAAAAGTATTCTGCTGGAAAAAAATTGTGGTTTATTTTCCACATGAATATAATGTAAAGAGTAATGGATGAAGCAGACTGGAAATAGTAGAAGTGGAAAGGAATTAATAATTTTTATGTTTTTCATCAAGAGAATGGCATCACCAACAGCAAGACCAAACCACATGACTTCATAACTGATTCTTTCTTAAATTATTAGAGGAAAGCTGTATTTTCAAGGGCAATGACATTACCATATATTAGGATAATTGCAGGATTTTGATAGAAGTAACCAAAATACTCGTTGTTGGCACTTCAGTAGTGCAAACAGTGAACCTACGGGGTGCTCATTATTAATTATACATATTTTGCTCTTGCCCTTCCTTTCACCTCAAGGTCTTTCATTAGAGTCCTAAATGGTTTATTTTTATTTTTGTGGCTAAAAATTTCCATATTTGTAAGAATGAGTAATAAGTACTTTATCAAACCCTTTTTACATGCTGAGATTTGTCTTATGAAGGAAGAACTGGTATACCCTGCAAACTAAAGATGGTAACTAACTTAACCTGACAGGATTCAATATTTTTGTGCTTAAATGTGTTGTCTTATTTGGGATATTGAATTTATAAAGATTTCAGGGTAATGTCAGTGATTTGATAATTACTTCAATGCTAATGTTGTTATATTTACAGCAAGGAATATAAAAAGCCTGTTTATTCATAAGCTGGTAAACTAGTAAATGATTTAGATAATGTGAAGAAAAAGCATAAAAAAGCTCCCAAGAAGAAATTTCTAATGCTGGACAGGTTTCTCTGGCCTTTACTTAATGTCATTATGACAAAATTTATTTTGTGGTAATTCAGTTTCAGCAGGGAAATAATTAATGGTGAGGCCATCATCCAAGAGTAGCAGCCACGGTTAAGTTGGGCAGCCAGCCCAAAGTCACTGCAACAAATCAAATGCTGAAAATTAATCCAATCTTCAAAAATTCAATAAAATACATAAACACATAGGTTAAGAATTAAAGACTGTGTTTAGGCTTAAAATGCAGTTTGCAATATTTAATTGTATAAAAAAAAGAAATGTGGAAGGGTAAGTTTTCAAGAACACAGACCAGTTGGATACCTTCTCCTGGGCAATTAACTCATGCAGTGCACTCGTGCTGGTGAAGCTTCATGAGCACAAAAATGGTTGCTGGTACCCTGTGGTTTGGCAGCCACATAAATCCTTTGTGTGGCTCAGAAATAGGATCAATGTGGATATGCTTTAGAAGAGTTAATGGGAAGGGCACCACTTAAAGCATGCTTAAATTATAGCTTTAGGTGGGAGTCTAAACAAAACCACATCTTGATGGAGTCTTTCTCTTCACATGTGTCTTGCTGAAACAGGCAAGCCTCTCGGATGTCTCCCACCCTGCAGCACCTGTGCTCATAGCCAGAGAGCCAGAGTAGGAAATCCTCATGTAGTAGCAGTGGCCCTGACACCAGCCAGACTCTACAGGTGAAATGGATTATTTCATCTCTCCACTTGAGTTATTCTGTTTCTTAACATGTAGCTAAATGGGAGAACTGCTGTTCCCAGTGCCTCCAGTCACAGTGGCTGTGGAGGTGCTGTGAGCACTTGATCACACAGTATTTCAAGTACTTTTGGAACTCTGTGTTAATATGGTCTAAATGACCACCTTAAATTTCACTCAGAGTTTGTCTGGGTTTGAAAAGACAGGTGTCTGCTAAGGAAGGCAGGAGCCTCCTCTGAAATGGAATATGTAAACCCCCTCCCTCCCAATTGTTATAATTTTGAAATTAAGGGACTCTCAGGCAAAGATATGGGAGCAGGAATAACAGTCCTTTACCAGGGAAGTAAAAATAAACCAACCAATTCAGTAATACAAAACAACACTGTCAGAGTCAAAATATGACCTGACACCCTGTGGGTCAGGGTGTTGGTAGCAGTCCAATTGAAATGGTGGCTGCAGTCCTCCTGGAATGACAAATGTGGTTCTGTTGGAGCAGTGATCCTGTAGAAGGGTGTAGTCTTCCTCTGAAGATCCAGTGGTGGTGTAGATGGGCCTGGTCTTCTTCTGGGAATCCAGTGGAGAAAGTGGTCCTGGTGTCCCAAAAACTCAGATTGTATCCAGGTAGGAACAATTGGCTCCTCCCCCTGGGCAGAGCACCTCCCAGTGTGATGGTGTAATTCTGTCAGTCATGCAGTGAGACTCAATGGCCCATTAACAGCAGATATTTCCCAAGGGGAGGTTTGGTTTGTGGAAGAGATAAAGAAAACTGCCCAATTAACAGAAGATAATGGCCACACCTCCAACATATGGCAAATAGAATACCCACTTACAATCCAGGACAGTTACTTGTCCATGACCCCCAGATGCTTTCCTGCCACATGT